TTTTTTTACGTTTTTTCCCCTCGTCTCTTCTTTTTCCTTTTCTTCTTTTCTGTTTTCTTTCTCTCGGTTTATCTTCTCTTTCATTCGTTCTTATGTTGCTGCATGCCAGCTTTCATAAAGTCTTCTTTTTTCTTTCTTATTATTATTTGTATTATTTTCATATTTATTTATATTAATTTTTTAAGAAGGCTTCTCCACCTTAGTGGATTTCAAGAAAAATTTTAGAGAGAAAAGAAGAGAAAAGAAAAGAAAAGAAAAGGAAAGGACAGGAAAGGAAAGAAAAGAAAAGAAAAAAAGACAAAAAACACGTGAAAACATCCCTAAACACAGTCGTGCGTGGCTCTATGACGTCATGTTTGACGTATACTAGTACCCAGTAAACACGGTCTATCGATGACGTCGAAGGCTAAGTTGAGCCAGCTATGGCGGAATCTAAACATCATTGTTTTAAAACAACAGGCAAACAACACTTATTTTCGTCATCAAAATCCCAAATATTTCCAAAACAAAAACCGCTCATACCATGACTTATATATAAGTTATAGATGAAGCTAAAATATCTAGGATTTAGTTTGAATTTCGGTCTCAAATTTGTGTTCAAAAATTGTCTATTTTGAACCGAGTTGTGAATATTTCTACAAATGGCAAATTCAAATGGTATTTCTTCATTCCATTTTGGAAAGAATGTATACCTTTTGGGGCTGAATGTCAGTAGGAGAGGACAAAGAGCTTTCTACAGTGGAATTACAAGAGGAAAATCTAACTTGGAAGGTTGTTGCAAGACGCTACAAGACAGAAAAGTATCAAGTAGAAAGATTAACACTGAATTGAAGCCTAGAAATCGGAAAAATCATCCAAATGAGTCTTTAACTTCTAGGTCTGTCGTCCAAGGCAGCTTCTTAAAGGTTTTTAGGACTCACCAATGTTTCAATTCAAGAACATTTGTAACTAGTCAACGCCTACGACTTCAAGAACCATGGATGATTTCAGACTATGAGGTGAATTCCCTTGTTAATAGATGTGAGACAGCAGCTTCTGTTAATCGTGGTATTATAGATCGTTATGAGACCAATCAACTTGCTTCTAACCAGCCTGTTGAGGATCGCAAGTTTGTCGTTAGCCTACTTCATGAAGATGGGGAGCATTTATTTGGAGTTCTCGATGGTCATGGAGGTGATTCCTGTGCTCAAAGTGTCAGTCACAGACTTCCTGATTACATTGGATTAGCTCTTTTACCACCAGAGATTTTAATGGAGTTAGGTAACGATGTACCTGACGTGAGGGAATATCTAACAATGACAAGTGATTCCGAACATAATGGTTATAATTACATGGATGACCCAATATGCCGTCAAAGTTTATATAAGTATTTTAAGAAGCTTAAGAAGATGTATGTTTCGAAAGGTTATCATGTAGGAAGTAACTTAAAGCAGAGGTCATCCAGAGGGCTATTTACTTCTTTCGCAGAATTCCATGACGTACGGACATCCTTCAAAATGAATGCATTGAGTCATGCATTTTTGAGCCTTGACGAAGATATCTCAGCAGAAGCTTTAAGGTTTGATGAAGCCGGTAAAGTTAACGAACATGCTTTTGCAGCAGCTAATGCTGGAGCTTGTGCTTTAGTAGCACATATTAATGRAACAGAGCTGTGTATTGCCAATACTGGGGACTGTAGAGCAGTGCTTGGTGTGGAGAATGAAAACAAGAGCTGGTCGGCAATTCAGCTTTCTTCTGATCACACGACAGGTAGGAAATAAATGCTTATAAAGTATACAACTTTGAATAAAATTGTTTTACTTAACCCTTGAAACAAAAAACTTAATTGCTTATGTGTAATCAGTGGTCAAATAGACACATACCCACAATACACTTTGGCCTTGGAATGCACTATTCAGTATGCAGTATTCAGTATTCAACCTTTTTTGAAATAGCTGTATAGGAACTTTACGGTATATCATAATTTAAAATTAAGTGTCAAATAAATAGTTTTGATATTAGTATAGTATTATAGGAATTTTATAAATATCTAACATAATGTTATAAAATAGTTTTAATCTTATTCAAGTTTTCTACAGTAGTACGTTTCTATTTAAATTAATTATGTTTGATTGGATTTATAAAGTGCTACTAGACTTTTATGGAAGAGGCACTGTAAAGGAAATAAATATGATTATGATTATTATATATTTCTATTTCTCTATGTGTAAACCTACTAATGGTTTATCACAAATCYTGAAAAGCCCTTGAAAATAGGGAAAAACACCAAAACTCCTGGAATACTCCTTGACTTTAATGCAAACTTAATGCTATTTCTAACTAAATAACGATTAAAATTGATAGAAAAGTTTCTGGTTGCTTGTTTACTGGTTGGTTGCATGTCATGATCGTTTTTTATTGGTGGACATGGCCCCGGCTGAATTAGCTGCACTTTAACTTTGTCTTTGAAAATCGAATTTTTGTGCTTGAAAATTGCTTAAAAAGTCCTTGAATTTTGTAAGGAAAATGTAGCACGAACCCTGTATATAGTTTAGAGGGATTTTGAGCATTTCTTTGCAGAATTAAATAATAACAGATTTATTAGTCGGCTAAGCATCTGATATGGCTGTACATTTTTACATTTTTACTAAAGTCTTGTCAAAACACATGACTCATAAAAATACAAAGCAGTATCAGATGCTTAGCTAACTGATAACCTCTATATAATCAAATAGAGTGAAGTCATTAAACCCATGAAATAGAACAAGACACTTTAGTAAACCCCTAATTCTATTGTTTTCTTTTGTGTCTATTTGACTATTGTGATCTACATATTTCTCTAAATAGCAGTAAGAAAAGCTTCAATCAAGCTAGAAAAATGATATTTTTTTGTATTTCTTTGTATTTATTAGCTAAATAAACAAATCAAGTAAAAAATTTGTTAAACATCAGTACATTCATACTGAAATCTAAGCCCAAATGTCTAAAGTTTTTGGTGACCATAAAACAATCTCACACGATTTATACAATGTGATGGCTTAGTGCTGGAAAGGGGAATTTGTTTCATTCTATTATGTAGCAAACACTGATAGTTTAGTAATCAATACCCATTCTGATGCCTAATTTTGTAATATTTGTAATTCTAGGTAACCCAGGAGAGGTTGAGCGTATAGTCAGCCAACATCCTCCAGAAGAAGCCACCACCTGCATTGAATATGAACGATTACTCAGTAGACTTGCACCGCTGAGAGCATTTGGTGATGTGCGCTTCAAATGGGACTCTAAAACACAGAAGGAAGTGTACAGTAAGAGTAATTCATCTGTAAGATATTTCACTGAAAAAGAACATTTATACACYCCTCCATACCTTACTGCAGAGCCTGAACTGACGTCATACCAGCTTCAGCGCTCCGACAAATTCTTGGTCCTGGCCACAGATGGATTGTGGGATATGTTGAGTAACGAAGAGGTTGTTCATTATGTAAAAGCACATGTAAACAAGAAAAATGGCGCAGAACGTGAGAAAACTTCAATGGAGATTACATACAACAAGCAAGAATTACCCTGCGAAATGTTGAACTCTGCTTCGTGTCTGATCCGCGAGGCTTTGGGTGGTGACGATCATGTGTCTGTGAGTACGTCGTTGAGTATTCCGTTTCCAGATGTGAGAAGGTACCGTGACGACATGACTATTATTGTTGTTTTCTTTGACTGGGATCAGCTGGAAATACCAAGTGAGAGTGAACAGGATTTTCCACTTATAATATAATAATTGACAGAGGAATTGGCGTGGGCATCCACCTTGTACAGGTACTAGAGCTTTGCATTTTATTTCAAATGTACATTTCTAGAAAATATTTATACTTATCTACAGGAGGAATTGGAAATTTTGGAGTAGAGGGGGTTAGAGAAGAAAAAAAACCAGAGTTTGTACAGTGTACAGAAGAAAATTGTAAGTTCCTGGGGGTGGGGGGGTGTCTTGAAAAAATTCCCTCTGTACATGTAGGAGTATAAATATTTTCTGGAACTTAACAATGTTTTTGTGACCATCTTTGGTTTTTGGTCCAGGTTACTAACTCCTCTACTCCTCTACCCCTCTCCCCTCAAGATTCTTCAGGCTACACTCCTCCCCCCCACCCCACCCCCCAAACCCTGCACCAACACACACGTGCTCCCCTTTAAGTTATCATTGTTGAAAGAACCCCAGGACCCAGTTGTATGAAGGATGGATAGTGCTATCCGATGGATAGATTCTTATACAGTTGACAAATTTATTAGATAACAACATCACTTATCCACTGGTACAACTGGGCCCATACTAATAACTTGATGCTGTTATCCAATGAATTTATCCACTGGATAAGATTTGTCCATCGGATTATAGCACTATCCACTCTTCATACAACCAGGCCCAGGAGTTTTTTGTTTTCCATTTTGGATTAATTGTTTTACATTGATACTGTAGCCATACACGTAATTACAAGAGCATTGTCATATCAAAAGAAAAAGAAAAAAAATAGGAATTAATTATTTAAAAAAAAAAAAAGTAAAATAAATCACTTTTATTTAAGTGTCTAATTGTTTTAGTGCTTTTGCACTAATTGAGGACACTTTTCACTCACACACACTGCCACTACATTCAATATTCTATGCAAATAATGCTCCACTCACATGTTGATTTTTATGGAGGGAGGAAACCAGAGAACTGTGAAGGCCACCCATGCTACCAATGCTAAGCAAAGTAGGTGTAATTATTTCACTGTTTTAAGAGGTATGGACGACATTTTTGATATTACCTTGTTGGTATATACTATAACAGTTATTTTCATCAATAATTGGCAGGAGGGGCTAAAGAATTAAAATTAAATTTAAAATATTCTGATTAATTCCTCTTCATCATTTTGTTATTTTTAATTTTTATATGACAATGTCCTTGCAATAATAATAATTATTAGGTGTACCTAATATTAGAATTTTTTGTTTTTAGTTTCGAAATCACTCCTATGCCTCAAGAGATTCAGAGATTCCAGAGATTCCCATGGGGGAGGTGGTGGGGACCAATAATTTGCAATGGTCCAATTCCTTCTAAATAATGAATAATATGAATTCCGCACAATGTGTAATTGTATGTAGATTCGCTAATGCTATGCAGAATAAGTCTAAAGATCGTTTTTATGCAAACTAATGAATCTAAAAAATCTAATGTGTTTACCACTCCTGGGTGGACGGCTTAATGCCTAACAGGCCTTGTGGCCCAATCGATAAGGCAGCTGGTAGATCAAATAAGAATTTAGAAGTTGATTTTTGTGGAGGGAGGAAAAACCGGAGAACCCGGAAGAAAAACCCTCGAAGCGGGGGAGAGATACAATGAGCTAACTCCACTCACATAAAACACCGAGCACGGAAGAGCTCGAACCCGGTGTAAATGATTTGCTGTTTATTCGATTACGTCACTTCGTCAATTACTATTAGCGTAGTATAATGTTTCAGCCTCGTGGCTTTAGATTGAATACTGTACGGGAGGAAAGAGGTATGTACTATGTTATCCTTCTTATTTTCCACCCCCTTTATATCATCATGTAACACCAACTATATGATATAAAGGGGGTGGAAAATAAGAAGGATAACATAGTACCCCCTTTATATCATATATTTGGTGTTACATGATGATTTACAATCACCTATACCTGATTACGGAAGAAACCCATCAATATCTTTAGATCCATACTTCAACGTATACAAATCTGTTATGATTTAAAGAACMAAACTTATACAATGTTACCAAAGTTTACGCATGTGATGCTAGCTTAGTAACCCGATTATAGTCGCTTATAGTTAGTTATTTATGTCCTTTGTATTATGTTTTAGTTTTTACGTGATCCAACATTATTACAATAAAGAATCGAGTATGGATTACAGTGTTTAAGCCTTTCTCCCCAAGCGGCGTAACCGCGGGTCTAGTTGACAGCAAGGGTGACCCCAAGCCGCTACAGTAAAAACTCTTTCKATCAAAACGTTCAAGTTAAAACCATCGGATTGAAACAAGGCCTAGCGAACTGATCATGACAGAAAAACGAGTAAGAATACAGACCGAGAAAGGACGCGTATATCAATTACAGCTAATCGASATCGAGTTTCGTAATGCTCAGAGAGAATGGTCAAAACAACACAATAAACTAAGGGATATGATATCTGACAGCGACGATCCCGAGAAATTAAGACCCGAAAGGATATATCTAGAAACGCGATGGGAAATCGTCTCGTCCGTGTACGATAGAATATCAGAATTAAGAAACGAAGAAGATATAGGCACAGAAGTAAACTCACACGCAGAGAAATTTGAGAACTTACTTAAGGAACACAACGAAGTATTAAAGTTGGCAAATAACCGAATTTTGGAACTAAAACGAACCGAGGAGAGAGAGAATTCCGCGCCGCCGTCAATATTAGGAAGTTCCAGTAGCAAATCGCAAAGATCGCAAAAATCGAGTGGCTCAAAGTCATCGACAGCTTCGTTTTTAGAACGAAAGGTAAAAATGGCAACAAAATTAGCGAGGCTGACAGCTGAGTTACATTTAGCAGATGTAGAACGTCGACAAAGAGCAGCGCTTAACAAAACAAGGGAAGATCTCAAAAAGTTCGAGCTGGAAAAAGGATATGAAATAGCACGGGCCGAAATGAACGCTCTCCTCGATATCGAAGGCATAGGATTTGCGGATTTGCCTAGT